GGTATTATCATCGGACTAACCAGCCCAGGTAAATTCAATCTTGTGTCTAATCTGACAACCGTGGCCTTTTCAGCCCAGGGTGGCCTGATAGCCTTCAGGGAACCCCCAACCGGGGGCACCGGCCCGGGGACAGCCGGTGGCAGAGGGACCGAGCATCATCTGAGTGGCCAGGCTGTTCTCCAATGTCCTGAGTAGTGCGGCAAAAAGACCGAAAAGACCGAAAAGGAAGTCGAGAAAGGAAGGTCCAAATTTGACCGACAGAGAGTTTAGTCGTCGTCGAATTGAACGCCGATACCATAACTCGGATGAAAATTTCCTTCTCTTCGTTTCTCTTCCCTTCCCCCTTTCCGCTCCCTTCCCTCCCTTTCTCACCCCTCTCTCCCTTCCCTCCCTCCCCCCTCCCCCCTCCCCTCTCCCCCCTCCTCACCGCCCCCAGGCCCCTCTTCGCTCCCCTCTGCCGCCCCGGGGGCCCCTTTTTCTTTGCCTTCCTCCCCCCTTGTTACTTCTGACTTCTAACGACGTGATCATTGCGCCTTCCTTCTCGCCATCGCATTCTGTCAAACCTCGGTGACCTGCGTGTTTTTGTTTCTTCGTGTGCGTGTGCCATCGCATTCTGTCACACCACGGTGTGTATGTGCTGTCTCTTATACACATCTAGATGTGTATAAGAGACAGCCTCATGAGGGCGTATGGTGTAGGGCTTGATGGAAATGGGACCGCCAGTCCAGAGAGGGCATCCCGGAGAGTTGTGGCCCAGAACGACAGGGCCTGTCCTAAAGATTTTGGGACGGTGCCGCTGCCGGGGCATTACAGAAAAATGGCTGCCCCTCATGAGGGTGTATGGCGTAGGGCCTGATGGAAATGCGATCGCCAGTCCAGAGAGGGCATCCCGGAGAGTTGTGCCCCAGAACGACAGGGCCTGTCCTAAAGATTTTGGGGCCCCGGAGGCTTCGCAGGGTTAGTCGCCCAAATTATGGAAAATACAGGGGCACCAGACAAAGTATTGCCAGAGAAAAAAGGAAAACGAAGTCGACATAGTAGTACGTACGAGTCCCCGAGTGCAATGCAATGTGAGAAAAGGAAAGAATGTGAGTTAAAAAAAAATAAAAAAGGAAAGGAAACCAAAAAGGAAAGGGAACCCAAGAGCCTAGCTCAGTGGGTACACCAATTAACTGTTGAAATACAGACCTGTGTTCGAATCCAGATGATGAAACTTGACAAGTAAAACCGACTACTAATGAATTGCTTGGGGCCGGCCACCTCAATGATAATATCTCAAGGCTGTCGCCCTTTATAAGATTAAAAAAAAAAAAAAAAAAAAAAGGAAATACCCCTGATCGGTATTAGCGGGGTCTATGACCAACACGGGTGTGAGTGTGAGCGCGAGTGGGTTGTGTGTGGTGTGTGGGAGAGTGTTGGCCA